GCTGGATTTTCAAGGTCTTTGATGAACAATCTGGCCATCAGTGTCTCCTCAGCGATCTGCTGGATGCTGAGCTCCACTGAACAACAGTGTCTCTGTTCCCTCCCCTACCTCTTTTAACATTTTTCTCCCTCGCTTTTTACCCAACAGTTGTTCTTTGCTTGTCCTTCGAGGAACTATCATCATTCTGATGAAGAAGTCAGAGGATTTCCAGCCCATATTCAATTCAATCCTTCCCCAAAACCTGAGAATATTTTAGATCTCTTCCCAGACTGCTTCATTTCTCCAAGTAAGTTCCTCAATAGCTTCACTCCTGAAATCTGGTAATCCTGTAATTCAGGTTTTACAATGCCAAATTCAAGTGTTTTATTCCTTTGTCACAGAGGATTTTGCATCATATAAGGAGTGAAAAAAAGAGAAGAAAATAATATTAACCTCCAAAGCAACCAATCCTTCATGTGATACCTTAACCCCCTTAACACACAGTGTGGATGTGGTACAGAAACCACACTTGGAGCTACAGTTGCACTTTGGTGAGACAAAGAGGGTGGAAAAATCTGTTTCCTTACTGCAGCTGTTGACCCTTTTCTTCCAAAAACTCCCTGAGCCATTTCAGGAGTTACTCACCTATATGTACTTAGTTGTCTGATCACTGGCCCAGAGCTATTTAGAGGTGAGCTCTGTTTCTCACACAGATCTCAAGTCAGCAAATAAGAGTACTTGTCAGCTGAGTCATTTCTGCCAGCTTTGCATTAAGTACCATGGCTGGAGGGGATGTAAGGCAGAATTTAGGCCAAGTAGGAGGGCAGAAGCTCAGCATCACTCAACAACAAACTCCCTGTAACCAGGTCAAAAAAGCAGACAGAGTTCAAATAAGAGCATATCATAGCCACATGCAAGAGGACCTGGCTCTCCTCACAGCTTTAGGGTATCTCCACTGGCATGAAGATGTCCTGAGGTGATACTCACACAGCCTGATGAGATGTCCACAGCACAACAAGGAGAAGACAGGCAAGCCAAACTATTCTCAGAACCACACCACACATTCAAAATTGCAACTTGCATCATGTTAACTGCAAATTTGATGGAGAAAAAGTTATGGAGGGAGGAAGAGGAAAGAATGAATATCATGACAAAGCACATCATAAGAAACTACTCAGGACAGGGAGAACAGAAAAGACAGGTATTCAAGAGACCCTCTGGTCTCATTCCCAGACACATTTGCTTTTCCTCATTTTAATGGGTAATCAAAAAATGGCTCCAGAACCACTCCACAGCCCACCTCAGGGTTTCTGTCTGCTCAGAATGATGATGCTGCAAAGGGGCAACACAAAGAGATCACAGAGTGTTCCCTGCAACAATCAGCTTCATTTTCCTATCTGATTGCAATTCCTAAAAACTGAATAATTGCACCTCACCCTTTGAAAAAATTACTAAACTACTCCTACAGGTAGGTCCCACCTCAAACTAATGCTCCAGATCTAAGATCCTCACCGCTCTGAAATTCAGATTCAGGATTTTGTTCAGGCATATTCTAGAGATATGGTTGTGTCAATGATAAAGCTGCAGCGCTGGTTCTTCAAATATGCCTCCCCAAAGACTGAGGGCAACTTGAGGTAAAAAATTCAAGCTCATTTGAAAATTGCAGGGAGATTACAAAGATTTCAAAGCCATGCAAAATTCAGCAGCAAGCACAGCCAAGCTACCACCCAGCAAAGCAACCTTCAAAATATGCTGCATGTTCAAAGGGCTTGTAGGTTTTGCTCGCATTGGACATCTTCCTAAGAGTCTCCAGCAATAGTGGGGAATGGCAGCACTGAAGCACACCAGGAAAGCACACACACAAGGCAAGGTCCCTGCAGCCAAGTCCAGCCTGTAAATTTGGGCAGCTGACATTACAGATGTCTTCTCATTGCCCTGTTGCTAAGAGTGGCTGTTCTGAAAAGACAGATTGAGACAGGTCAGTGGGCACACACAAAACAGTGCTCAGACACCTAGAAATATATCGGGTCAATGAACTGCATCAAGACATTGGGCTGAGTTACTGGTCACCATTTAAGAGATTAAATTGGTGCCGTGTCAATAAACAAACAGTAAAGGAGATGGCAGAAATCCTTATCCCATTCCATCTTTTCCCTTTGCTTCTGTATTTTTCCTCTGTCCCCATTCCAAGCCTCGGTACAAGCCCTGAGGTTTTAAAGCAGCACAGCAGCAAGGACTGCTGGAGGGGATCAATGCTAGGGTCAATTTTCTCTCCATACATGATCACCTGTTCCAGGGAGGAGGGAGAAGGCAGGGTGAAGGCATGAGCAATCACAAACCCACATCAGCCTCCAGGGTGTAAAAGGCTGCAAAGTTTCCTGGTAGCATAAGGCAGAGCCTACAACAAACAATGTTGTGGTATTCCTGCCTGGGAGGCACAAATTCTCTCCATCACCTCCAAAGCTTCCCAGCACCCATCAAAACGATTACATTATAAAAACTGCTGAAAGCAGAGCTTTTCAAGGAGGCCAGTCACGAAGTCACTGCACAACAAAAAAGTAAGTAGGGAGTGTTGTAGAGGTGGGAGCCCTTCTTCCCAGGGTGGCTGCATACTGGCATGTATTAAACATAGTCACAACAATAAGCAATAAATCACAGCCCAGGAGAAGTGCCAGGTGGAATGCACTGGAGGAAATTAAAATATCCTTCTTGATACTGTTCAGTATTGAAAGAAATACAAAGGAGGTCAACTTGACTTATCACCTACATAGCCAGGATGCTAAGGGGAAAAAGGGTTCAAAAATTTGCAGCTGAAAAATTTGCAGTTGAATGATTTCCTGCCAAAAAAAAAAGCTTAGCTTAAAATGTAATAATAATATCACAAACATCCTTTCAAATAAATAAATAAATAAATAAAGGCCTTTCTTGTCATTCCTACACTGTCTTCTATTTGCCCTCCTGTTTTCAAATGCACAGTCCCTTCACAAGACTCATCCATAGGGTGAAGGATCCTTTGCAATGTACACAAATACACTAGCTGGCCAGTACCCAAATTCAGCAAATTCTGGCCTCCCACACTGCATCCCACCATGCTGTCAGGAGACCCTATCTTGGGTACTTTGGTATTACCGAGTGGCTGGCTCATATTGCCTAAAAGGATCATGAAACTAGTCAATGGGGACAAAATTTGAGTCTCCATGTCTTAAAGAACTGGGCTGCTTCCTTATTTCACTGAAGAGTGCCTCCAGAAAGTTTGTTTTGGTAAAAACCAGTTGGTACATAGCTGGTACACAAGCTTCCCAGTAATTTCAGCCAGGACTCAGTGCCATACAATGCATAAAACTGAGGGTACTTTTGGCCACTAGCAGGCAAGGGAACCTCTTTGGGGACAGGTTTTTGTTTTGCTGGGATAAGCATATACAAGCAAGGGACTGCTCTGTGGCCTCCTGGTCCTAAATAGATGGTGCTCCTGTGAGGTACTCTCACCCATCTGATCTCCAGTCACTATTTTTTTCCCTGCTTGCTCCTTTTTAAGGCAACGACAGCAAGCAAACCTCCACAATTTGAGTTTTAATGCAAGGGTCATACAAAATACTTAGGCAGGCTGAAAATGGGACACCACCTATCAATTACCAGAAAGCTGAACTCAAGATTAGGAAAAGAAAGATAAACAAGAACTCGTTTCCCTTGAAACTGGATCATATATATGTATACACACATAAATATTCTCCAACTGAAACTCTGCAGGACAGCCTGAAGAGGACAGCTGTTATGTTCTACCTTTTAAAATCTATGCTTTTAAGGGCTGAAGACAGGATGGCATTTTCCAGCTGTGGTTCTCTTTCTCTTGCTAAACACTTCTATGTCTGTCTGCTTGTATAAGCAACTAAACTTTTACACATTAAACACTTCTATGTCAAACTGCAGTAATGACCAAGTTATATTTTCTGAAAAGGATAATTCAGAGGTTCAGTGAAAATAGAAAGAGCTGTCATGTATATTTAGACATACAGGAATTTAGTACTAGCTGATAGATAAACTCTACTTGTCAAAAATAAAATGATGGTGACATTTTCTGTATCAGTTTTTTGGCAAGAGAACAGGGACATCTTGCAGTAGGCCATGGAGGAGGGAATCCGTTTAGATGTTGCTAACAAAATCCTTCCCCTTGTCTAGCACAGAGGACATCAGTTTCACACAAACCTCTCATCAAGGAAAGCAAGGCAAAAGCACTAGAGGAGAAGGAAAAGTATTTTCGAGAGATGTAAACAAGTAATATCCCACAGCAGACCACACTGCACACTCAGTGAGATTATTTGAGCATCTGTCTCAATCAGTTGGCATCACCCTCTTTCACCTGCTTAAATGCAGGGGGACCATTTAGATGCAAAAGCCTTCTGCACACATTTCTGGGTGGAAAACTGCTCTGGAGCCAGGGCTGACAATTAAAAAAAAAGTAATTTTTCCTACTCTCTTTAAAAGGTACAATCAAGGCACAGAATCTATCCAGGTGTAAGAGATGTCACACATAGTTGAGATGAGCTATTGATTTCCAAAAGCAATAACAAGTTGCCACACAGCCCAGCCCTGCCTCATCATATGTGGGAGAGGAGATCATTCAGATAAGCAAGGATAGGCTGGCTGCAACCCAAATTCAGAAACCATCAGCCATAATGCCAATAAAAACCACCAGCAAAACACATGGACTTAAGAAGAACAACACTGAAATATCAAGTTTAAGAGAAAAAAAAAGTAATAAGTAAATATTGTAAGCCCTTCCTTGGTAAACATACAAATGATTTATAATGAGGACTAATTAGTATTTTTAAAAAAAATATTGCTTATCCTCACTGTTCCTGTCAAGAATGGATCTGTCAGGAGATGCACTTCAACAGTGCTTTTTGTCTCTTAGTGATGAAAAAAAGCCTTCTAAACCAAAAAAACCCAAATCTGACTGGAATATGTTTCCCTGGTGCTTTCTTTTTAACCTGAAGTGGGATATATCAAAGCTGCAAATTTACTTACCCTTCTGTTCTGTACATGGAGCATCTCTCCAGAGGAATTTTTAGTACTCCATTATTTAAGCCCACAAAGAGTGACCTGTCGCTGTGCAGGATTTGGAGGCTCTTGATTGCTTCCTGTTGTCCATCAGGGAGAATCTGCATTTCCTCTAAATAACAACTCCTCAGGCTCCTGTTAGTGGTAGAAAGGGCCTTCAAGATGGTGCCATACTCTAATAGGACAAGAAACAAGGCACAAGTAAATCTTTGAGGCACTAGCTTCATTTCATACCTGCCTAAAGAGTGAAATATTAATGCCATTTTTACAGAGCTGCTTTAAACCTCGTTCTGGGTCACCTGCTGCCCATGATAGAGAGAGAACTCCAGCTACATCATTACAACCCTCAGCAGAAACTGCCTGAGAATGCATTTTAATGGGAACTCAGAAGGATGGGAACCATCTGGAGAGTGAGTACCTGGAAATATTTCCCAGCTGGAGCACTGAGGCAGAAGAGTCTGGTCCTGCTACCAATGAGTTATACAGCAAGGTGACCCAAGATAGAAGGATCATTTCTGGTGCCTTGAGTCTGTATTTCTATTGGTTTATAGAGCAGATTGGTGTGATTTGATGCCATGACAAATGACAACAGATGCAGCAGCCCTGCTGGAAATCTCAGAGGTCTCTGTAGTGACTGCATGGGTCATGGACCTAATTGATCCTCTTCCTGGAAGAAGCCATCCTGCCAGTTGACAAGGGGATGTTATGGCATGAGCAGCGCATACACAGAAACATTGTTTGTGTTTGTGTTCACAGCGCTCTTACCTAAACAATTTAAAGATCTGCTAAACTGTGGGAGATTAATGCTGGGGGAAAGGGGGCAACCACATCATTTTTCATTAAAACCACCAAGAGGTCTGTCAGCCCTGATTGTTACTGAAGCTTAATCTTTTTGTCCTGAAAACTTCTGCATTGACGCCAAAGCTCAACAATTTACAGTGGTGGGGCTGGCTGCCACCTGAAGTTTCTCTTTCACTTAGAAGGGCTTTATGTGTGGAACAAGACAGAAGCCCAAGTTTGAGCTCAGTTTGTCTCAGGGCTGGGTTTGTGTTCAGGGCTGCCTCTGGGCAGACCTGTCTCTACTGAAGCATTTCACTGGTTTAAATGTTTTCACCAGACCTTACTCTTCAATCACCACTAACAGGGATGGAAAGCAAACACAAATAAGGAGGTAAGGTTATGGCAGTAGACCTTTCTGTGCTAATGATACAAGGTAGAAAGTATTCCAGCTTTCAGGCTTTGTAGCTCAGCCTCCTCACCTTAAATATCTAAATGGCAGAACCATGTTGTATTTCCATTTAAGCACAATCTTTTCATCATAATCAATGTCCATTGGGGCTCCCACAGTGGGAATGTTACTAGAACATACTCAAGATGATCACTTTTGAAGTAAGTGGAGGTAAAAGTTAGATAAATTATGACACAGTTCTGAAGGTCCACTCTCCTAAACAGGGGAATGAGGCAATGACTCTGCATTCAGATGTGAGATTAAACTAACACTTATGGAGGCAATCCATCTTATTCTATAGTCAAAGCTTCTGCAGTAGAGGATAACAACATTATGCCCATGAGGCCGGCCATATGCTCTGATTAATCAAACTATTTAATTTAACCTCTATCATTAGTACGAATATGGGCTAAGACAACCATTTATAACACTTTGTCCTTCTTCAGCATCTTGCATTTATCCAAGATATCTGTGCTTTTCAGAAGAGGCAATGTGTCCTGCTAATTAGAGGATGGCAGTAGAAATCAAGAGACTAAATCATATACTTAATTCTACCACTGGCTCGCTATGCTACCACAAAAAAAAAGCACTTGCCTCAGCTTCCCTCTCTGCATTACATTTCAGTGCATGCCCATTCCCGAAAGCACTGGGAGTCATACACCAGTAGGTACATGGAAGTGCAAAGAAAGACATAATTAAAACCCTGGGCAAGACTGGAGGTTAGGCATTATTATTGCTTATTCAGAGATGAGTATGTCACAGCTCAGAGAGGCAGCTTATGGGATGAAACCACAGAGCATTCCAGAGACCTCTGCTCTTCCCCACTGTTATGTATTAGCCTGATTAGTTGAAACATGCTTTTATAAAAGGGAGAGAAATGTTATTGTTGTTTTTAAACACAACATAGATTTATGGTCTGATGACTTGGGACTTCAAGTCCTGCATCCTGCTTTTAATTTACTCAGGCAACATAACTTCCATTCAGTTTTGTGCCAAAATCACACTGAGCAACAACTGCGTAAGGACATCATGACTGGGCTCCCAGGGCCGCAAGGTTTACAAGCAAGTGGAGGAAACAGTTTTAAGCCCTGATGCTCTTACCTGTTCCAATATACATCACATGGTAGAGAGTATCTTTCCCTTGAACGATATCAACAACCAGTTTGGAAAATCGAATGCTGTCCTGAGTCACATAGGGATCTACAGTCACTGGCTGCACGACATCATTCATCAGGAACAGGCGCTGTGCATCCTGCAGGACTCTCTCCGTCAGGTTCTCATTAGGGCTGTCATCATTCAGTGTCCCACACTAAATATGGAAGATTGAAAGTAAAAAAATTCATTTTCTTCCCACTCCATCATGGAAAACTATGTCTTATTGATTTCCAGGGGATGTGGGTCTGTGTGAGGGTCACAGGATCAGGCCCATAGCCTGATCATAGGTCCTTAGCCTGGATTTGGCCTGTAGACTACTCTTTATAAACACTTCTCCCAGCTGGTCCCCTGACTAGCAAAGTGGAGTTTCATTCCCTTGTGATATCCTGCAGCCAGCACACCAGAAGGGCAAAAGGCATTAACAAACCGGGGAGAAACAGAAAGAATTAAAACTAGCTGAAGAAAGATTTAGAGCTAGTAGTGGAGAGAAAGTTTTTGTGGTGATAAATCCTTGAAGCATTTCAAACAATCTTCTGACTCTACCTGGCATCTCAGTCTGTACAATGAACAAAACCTTGAGTTTAAAAACCTGAAAACGGATTGATTTTGCATCAAAGAATGAAACTTGCCACACTGCTTTTCTTTAATGTTCTCCCTTGTGAACAGACCCCCCCAGTTCCATCTGAAGCAAGGCAGGTTAGCCAATACCTCCCCCACCCCAAACACTTCTAGCCTCACAGCGAATGGCAGATCAAGCCATGTCCATCCATCCTCCAGCACCAAGGGGTGCACTGAAATAGAAATTAAATCCCTTGGTCCAGCCAGAATAGGGGGCAAGCAGAGAGCTCATCTTGTGTCTTTTAAACAGCAGTGTGAGTCCTACCAGGTGGGTAGTGCATTTTAAAGTCTGAGTTTCTATTTTACACTAATCTCTAGAATTCAGCATTTTCAAAAGCCCATGCAGGTTTTGTGGTCCATGTCAGTAGCCAGGGCTGGATCTCATTCTTCCCTTCAATGTCATGCATGGTGGGCAGAAGATTTATTACTCCAAAAGAGAGCTGGGTGGCTGATTATTTATCTTGCCCAAGACCATGGAACTCAGTGGTACAACTAGAAATCCTGTCAATTCCCATACTCAGTCCATGAACAACTTCACTTCTCCTTAAGTGAAACCCACGCCTGAGTAATTTCACTAGGGAAAAATCCCACAAATTTCTTTTTCTTCACTTTGGGTCCAGGTGTTTGGGCTTTCCTTGGAAGAAAAGTCAGAATACTGAGACTTAGGATGTTGATTTACAGTACTCCAGCTACAGTGTACAAATTCCCCATGTGCATACTCTTGATACACACCAAGGCAACTCTTTGAGGTATGGTTGCCTTTCCCAAGTGCACCACACAGACCTTCTCTTACTATGTGCTAAAATGAATTGTCAGGAATTTAGCACACATTTACACAATAAATACAGATCCCAATGGTTGGTGTACTAAGCCCTACAATATATTGGAGGTTGTGTGAACTAGGAGAACAAAGTTATACTAATTCTTACCACCTATGAACATGGCCACTTTTTAATCAACTTAAACATCTTCCTGAGTAGACAGACTAAGGAAACATCAGTGGCTTTTTGATGTGTTCTCAGGTGGGTTTTAATGCTTTTTCCTAGTGCAATGGTCTTTTTTTTTTAGTTCATGACTCATACCACATTCTAAAGAGCTGTTAGATCTCTCTCTTCTGCTGTATCCTATACTCCTTTTAGTTCACACTACTGTCTTACTTTGGATGCTTTTCTCCTACCTCACTTTCCTGTCTAGAGCATCACCTAAAAGGAGTCCCAGTGGCAGAAATGTCATTGTTAGTTTTGTTTTCTGTTCTCAGCAAGTCACAGATAAACCTTTTGGTCTATTGGCAGCTCATGTGCTGATGCAGCATCCCTCTGGTTTGGTTTTATTTTGTTTTGTTCTAATTTCCTGATTATCTGCACTGTCCTGATCCTCTGTATCCTTCAGTATTTCTCCTTTCTCTCTGCAGAAAAAAAAAATCTGGCATGCTTCCTTCGTCTTCCTTTGTGAACACTGAGGCAAAAAAATTAATTTAATTTTTTTGCAGTATCTGCCTCTTCTGTCACTAAATTACCCTTGTCATCTCCTAAAAGCCCCTCACTGACCTCTTGTTCCTTCTGTACTCAAAAACCATCTTAATCTCTTCTTGCAATCTTCCTTTTGTCTGCCACATACCTCCTTTTCCTTTCCTTATTTTCCTCTGACCCTTTTCTTTCATCTTGTCGCTGCAATCTTTACACTCCACATTTTATCTAATACTTTTCACTACATGGAAATGCTTTCCAAGGTCCTTTTCTATTTCTTCTGGGTTATCCCAGCAAGGGACAGAAAGTCCTCGATTCTCAGTTAGCTTCAATATTCTCTTTAAACTAAGACGCAAAACAACAACAACAAAAATCCTGGCCATGCCTGGCATGATTGGGCCTTTGGAGAAGTTTTTTTCTTGGGTTTGAGTGCACCAAGCTGAGGGAGTGATTGAGAGCCCAAACCTGTCCCACCTTGTATGGGCAGAAGCCCTCAGTCATGAA